TTAAATAAAATTTTTAACAAAAAAAAAAAAAATCCCCCACGAAAATAAATATTATTATTATTTACAAAAGGAAAAAAAAACGATTTTTCTTATTATTATTATTATTATTATTACTGATTTAATAAATAAATAAATAATATTTTCGATTTATTATAATCGTTTTAACACATACACACACACACAAAAAAAAAAAAAAATTTATTTGGAATTATATTTCAATTAAGAATCGAATAACATATAAAAAAATATTATTATTATTAAAATTTGATTTTTTCCCCCCCCCCCCACTCCCCACTTCTCTCCCCCACGTGTTTCCGCCATATTTGTTTTATTTCACCATCGATTAAAAAAAAAAAAAAAAGAAAAATTTTGTTTTTATTTTTTTGACTTCCCTTAAGAGTTTCGGATTAGTATAAAAAAACAAACAAAAATAAAAGTTTTTTATTATATATTATCGACATGTTAAAATGATTTCGAGATATATCGATATATATCGATATTATCGATATATTATGTATGAGTTTAATGTTTTGACTTGTTTTCTTTCTTTTTTTTATTAGGATTAATCGAAACCGGAAAAGTTGACTTTATTACATTTTTTTTTTTTTTAATTAAAAGCAGAAGAAAAATGAAAATTGTAAAGACGAACGTGTTGCAAATTCTTGTCTCGACGTTAAGAAAAAAAAAATGTTTAACTTAAGCCAAAAAAAAAAAAAAAAATCTTGTCCTCAAGTTATTTAACATGATAATAACTTAACTTTACGACGTTTTTAACGTTCCCTTTTATTGTTTATATTAATGGAGTTTATTGCTTTATCGAATAATCATCATTATCATCATCATTATCATCATCATCGTCGTCGTCGTCGTGGAAAAGTAATGCGAATAAAATTTTCTTTTTTTTTTTTTGGTAAAAACAAAATGGCCGAACGACGCGATTTTCGCGGCGTTTTTTGTTTTGTTTTTACCCCTACGCACATACGGAAGCATACATAAACATATAGGGGCGCGCATGCGCGCGCCCGCGCCCGCGATTTTTTACATTGACGTACTTTATGACGTCACGATATGTGCGAAGGCGCGTTTTTTTTGGTCCTATTTGAAAAATTTCCAATTTGCTATCCCTTTCGTTTCTTCTACTACCACTACCACTATTGCCACCACCACTACCGCCACGACGTCTTTTTATTTCATTCATGACGACGAACCTTTCGTTAAAGCGATCGTCAAGTATTATCAACCTTTGACCTTTTTAAATCTTCTTTCTTTTCTTTCCACGTTATTATTTTTTTTTAAACATGAATAATAACTTGGAAGGTTTTTTACCCGAGTTTTGTTTATCCCGATGATCGAAGAAAAATTACCATAATAATAATAATAATAATAATAATAATGATAATAAAATCAAAATAAAAAGGGAAAATTTGTTTTTTACTCCGCCATGTTTTCCTTTTTTTTTTATTTTTTCTTCCTCGTTTTCCCTTGAATGCTTATTATTATTATTTTATTTTTAATATTTTTCTCATGTAATTTCTTGTCACCGCAATTGACGTTTAAGGGTGGTTAACGTGAAAGAAAAGGGTTGGGGGGGAAAAAAAATTCAAATTCGATTTTATAAAAGTTTACAAAAAAAAAAAAATTTTATTTTATTTTCGTCTTCCTTCCTGTTTACCTTCTTTTATAATTTTTCATTTAAATTTTATTTTTATTTATAATTTATTTAATTTGTTAATTAATTAATCAATTGAAAGAAAAAACAAAATGGCGTCAAATTATATTCTTTTAATTATGATTTTATTTAAATAAGAACTTTTTATTTTCACACTTTTTAGCCCTCTTCTATATTATTATTATTATTATTATATCTTTTGAAATGATAATAATAATAATAATTTCATTGATTGTAGTTGTTTTTTTATTCGTATTTCCCCCCCTCCTACAAATTACGCGCGTGGTAATAATAATAATAATAATTAAAAAATTTTTTTTTTCGATTTTTTTATTATCGAATCGATCGATAAAATCGATTAATCGCACGTAATTTATTCTCGAAGAATAATAATAATAATTTTCTTTAAGAAAAATAAAAAAAAAATTTTTATTGGAGAGAGAGAGAGAAAGTGAGAAAAATGACAGAATCGTCATGTTTTAATGACGTCATTCTAAGGTGACCTACTTGAATGAGAGAGAGAGAGAGAGAAAAAAAATGAACTGACCAGCGTAATGACACGAAGAATGTGTATCAAGGTTAATACGAACCATAAAAAAAAAACTCACAATGTAAAATAATAATAATAATAATATTAAAAACAACGGAAATAAATAAATAAATAAATAAAAACCGAAAACAATAATAATAATAATGACAACGTCGTAAGGGGGAGGAAGATGAAATGGGAGAGGGGAGGGAAGGGGTAGGGGGTTAAATACAGAAAAATTATTATTAATTTTTTAATTAATTAATTTTTTTTCTACGAAGAGAGAGAGAGAGAGAAAGAAAATTTTTTTATTCGTAATATTAGATAGATGAAAGAGAGAGAGAGATAGAAAAAAAAAATTACAAGTCATTATTTCTTAAAGCAAAAAGGAGAAAAAAGGAAAAAAGGAAACAAACACGGCGCCGACTTTCTTCTCAATCGAAGGTTAAAAATTTTCCTTCCGAATATTCTAGAAAAAAGGAAAGGAAAGGAAATGAAATGAAAGGAAAGAAAATCTTAGTAAGTTTAAAAAGTTTTTCATTTTATTTTATTTTTTATTTTTTGATAATTTATCGATATCGAATCGAGAATTATGAAAAAAATTTTTTTTTTTTTCACGTTGGCAACACTTAAAAAGTTTATTGCCATCCTTTCAAAAAAAAAAAAATTTTTTAAATGAGTTTCACGACGACGTGATATACAAAAATTTTAAAATTAAAAACGTTTAAAAAAAAAATGGCGGGAAATTTTTTTTTACGTAATTAAATTTTAAAAAAAAAATCAAATTAAAAAGAATCGAATAATAATAATAATAATAAATTTTTGGATGAGTTTTGGGAAGGAAAAAAAAAATTACGTGGGAGTACGGGGAAAAAAAAAATTTTCCGTTAAAAAAAAAAAATTGTCTAAATACACGTCGTCACGTCACGTCACGTTTTAATTTTAATTATCGACGTGTTGTTGCATATACTTTTAGTTTTTCGATAAAAATATCGTAGTGACGTCATAAGGAAAAAGGAAAAATTATTCGAACCGTGAAAAAATTTTTAAATAACTGTTACTTTTTTCCAAAAAAAAAAAAAACATTTTTCAACAAATTTTCTTTTTTTTTTTTCGTGTTTAACTTATCGACTGGATAAAATTTAAAAATTATTAGGGTTTTCCCCATAAAATTTATTTATTTTATTTTTTTTCTCCAGGTTTTTCTTCCCCCCCCCCTCCGCCCATAAAATTCTTATCACAACCTGGAAAATTTTTTTTTTTTTAATGTCAATTTTTGACATTTTTTTTTTTAAATTAATTTTTTCATTTATTTAATTTAATTATTACAAAAAAAAATTATTATTATTATTATTATTTTAATTGATTTATTCGGAAAATTTTGTTCGTTCGTTCGTGATTGTCAAATTGATTTTCTTCATCGTTTTGCAAATTAATTTTCTTTTTATTTTGTTTTCCGCCATTTTCTATTTTAAAAAAAAATTAATTTTTAATTTCTTTCTTTCGTTTTCGAATTCGAAAAACGGGGGGTTTTTTTGCTGTTGCTGCTGTTCGAAAAGGTTTCTTTCTTTTACATTTTCTCTTTTTAATGGTTTCTCTCACATCGCACCTTCCAAAAGGCTCAAAAATATTTTCGACGAATCCAAAATAAAAAAAATTAATAATAATTATGATAATCGTAATTTAAATTAAATACTTTTTGTCATGTTTAACTTTTATATAAGACAATCATCTTTGATTTCGCGTTTTATTTAAAAAAAAAAAAAAACATTCACGTTTATTTATAATTAATAAAAACATTTTCACAATGGTTCCAAATTTTTCCTTCTTCTTCTTAATAAATTATTCGAGTTTTCATTTCGTATTAATAATAATAATAATGAGGAGAAGGAGGAGGAGGAAGATATAAAAATGTCGGAAAGAGAGAGAGAGAGAAAAAAAAATGTACATATGATGATGACAAATAAATAAAAATAATTTTTTCTACTACTAAAAGTTTTATATTGCTGCTCACACATCCGATGTCGAAATCTCGGAGGCTTTGACATCCCCCAAGTAAGATGGAAGGGAGGAGGGAGGGTAGAAGGGGAGAGGGGAGAAACGTGTAAAAAAAAAATTTTTTTTTCTTTAAAAAGTAATTCGAAACTTTTTTTTTTTTTTTTCCTTCTTTAAAAAGTCTCCAGAGTGTCTTAAATTATTCATATTAATAATAATAATGATGATAATAATAATAATAAAAAACTTTCAATTGGTCACTTAGTGGGGAAATAAAAAATAAAAAAAAAAAAAAAAATTATTTTTATGATTTATCGTTTTTATACTTATTATTATTATTATTATTATTATTATTATTATTATCAGCTTCTGATTTAATTTAATTTAATTTATTGATTTTTTTTTTCTTTCCTCTCCCAAATGATGATAAGACGATTCGTGTTATCAGCAATGATTTCAACGTTTATAATTTTGCATCGAATTTTTTTTTACGTATTAATAGTGATAATAATAATAATAATTTTCCGAAAGAAAAGACGAAAGGTTTATTTATTATTATGGAAAAATATGTTTTTTTTTACTACGGTCCTGAATGAAATAATAATAATAATAATAATAAATTCAATGACTATTGCTCACCTTTTTAATATCTTAACTAAAAAAAATAAATCATAATTAAATTTATTCATACTAATAATAATAATAATAATAATAATGATAAAAACTACGCATTTTTTTTTTTTTTTGGAAGCGAACTAATACACTGGTTTCTATTAAAATGAATTAATTTTTATTTAAATAAGACCTTTAGCTTTGAACAAATCTCGCATTAAACCTTTCAGGCATTTTATTTCGTTTTTCATTTCGAATACTTTTTCTTCCAATTTGACCTTTGCCCTTTTCAATTCTTCTTCCTTTTTTAATATCTCGTATATTTCCGCTTTCTTTTTCAAACGGTACCTCGTGGCCGCGCATTTATTTTGCTCTTTCTTACGTTGTCTTCTGTCATCTTGATTACCCCCGCCGCAGCCGCCGCTTCCTCTCCGACTCGAACTACTTTTGAAACCTTTCGAGCAAATCTTTTTCGATATGGAAACTTTCGATTTGGGCATCCATTCGGGATCGTCGCTTTCTTCCTCTCGAGACGAACAACTTCCTCCTGATTTCGACTCCGACGACGACGACGACGACGTCGTCGTCGTCGTCGATGACGGACTCCCGAAACTCACGTCCGTGTCCGTATCGCACGGATCTAATTCCATTGCGGCATTCATTAATATTTCGTCGACTGATGTCATTTCCGGTTTCGGAAGAGAACGAGGCAAGACGATTTCCGTGAGTAAATTTTCCTGCACGGTGCTCTCCGTAACCGATTCGAAACATTCCTCATCATTTTCCACTCCGACCTTCCCCGAATCGATGTTTGTTTGTTTTTTTTCTTTTTCTTGAATGGCGGCGGCGGCTGCGGTGAAGTCGACGTTTGAATTTCCGGTGATGTAAAAGACGTCGCTGTTTTCCGAAAAGAAAAGCGTTGTGTTTTCGATTGTTGAAGCAAACAGATCTTGAACGATTGAAGGACTCAAATTATAATCGGATGAGATGGAATTTTGATTTTGCGATTCATTTTCTCCATTCGATTTCGATTCGTTCTCCGAAACAAATTTACCGTTGCATGTTTTCGAGTCTTCCAAGGGTTGAATTTCTTCGAATAGGGGAAACTCGTCAAGCCAATCTAAAAAAAAAAAAAAAAAATACAAAATGATTTTTGGCGCCAAAATTTTTTAAATCGATGTAACACTACATAGCGATAATACGATATTAATAATTTCGAGTTTTGATGACAAAAAAAAGACAGAAAATTTTTTTCCTCCATTTTGTTTCAAAACTTTATACATTTTTTTAAAACACCTTGAAAAACTTTGTATATATCTTATTAAAGTAAACATACATATATATATGGAACACTTTCTCTTTTTACCTTGATTTAATATAAAAATAATTTAACATTTACTTTTTTACGACATATTATTTTTTTTTTAAATTAATTGCGGTTCGATCGG